AAAACTTCATACCCCAACTGTTACTTCCCTGTGGCTCAACTAACCAGGCACTCTCCTGGCAGGCTAGATTGCCAGCAATGGATTCAGAGATTATTTATACCAAACGACAACAGCAACAAAACCAAAACAACCAACCAACCAACCAACCAACGAACCAACCAACAAACCAAAAACCTTTGGAAGCCAGTAGAAATGAGTTCCTCCTGTTAAACTTATCCTATTCCTTCAGTCCTAAACCGACCTGTTCTCAAGCCCCTTGGGTGTGAAAATAACTAAGAAGTTCTCCCTCGAGCTGGCTGACAACATGGCTTCTTGTCACCAGAATTTCTTAGAGGTATGATGTTGGTGAATGGTGAAAAGTAACTGATAAACAGAGCTCAGCCACAGTTTTAGGGCATTTGGTTTCACTTAGTACAATACTGAAATAGTTTTCAAATTATGGGGAAGAGCATTCCTTGTGAATGCCTATTTTATCAACAATTACACCTGATCAAATCTGAATTCTGGATAATATGCAAAGTCGGTGAGATGATATAAAATTTATGCACATAAGGGAAAACGAATTTTAGGATTACTGTTGTTGCAGTAGTCTACTGAATAGAATATAAAAATGTATAAACAGGAAGTTAAAATGAACACCCAAGCAAACTCTAGGCAAGATACGCTCTGAAAATCTTTCTCATTGCTTGAATTACACACACACAAAATATATTTTTGTTCTTGTCTAAAAAACTACCATCTGTATGTCTTCTACACAATCCAAGAATTAAGAGAGCTGAATGTTTTATATGCCATGTAACTTATATAAAGCTATTATGAAATTTTGTGAAATTTCTGTTTGTACTAATAAAATTTTAACTAAAGTTCATTGCTTCTTTAATACATTTTTATGTATACATGACAATGGTGAAAAAAGATACACATAAGCACGTTTATTTTAAATTTGGGGAATAGAAGGAAAATAGCAATTAATAATAAATTTTGCAGGTTCTCTATGCAATTAACAACCCCATAGTCCAAATACTCTTTTTCCATTAAAAATAATTTTATACAAACAGCTGAGATTTAGAAGATGGAAATGAACATTAGTCACTCTGTAATACAAATGTCCTGCAAGCAGAGATCAGGTTGCATCTTCCTTTGTATCTCTTCCTACTGTACTTATAGTGCCTGGTACGTTATGTGAGAGAGAGGAGGCACTCAGTATACATCTTCACCTTGATTCACAAAAGAGAGCTGTTTCTAGAAGGTCTTTCCACATAATTTTCAGACATAGTAAATTCAGTGTTGTCAAACCAAGACCTCTTCTGAGTTTAGTTAATCAAACTCTACCTCTGAAACTTTGTACTGATATGTGACTGGATTAGGCAAGGACTTCTCTCAGTCCCTTATCCTTCTTCAGTTCTTTAAAAGCAGTGTGAAGATAAGAAAAGTAGCACTATATATTTCTGATTTGTTAGCAAAATTGCTACTGTAGCGTGTATGAAAGCATAATGGCAAAAATACAAGAATGCTCTGACATCAAAAAATAATATATTTTAAGTCCTACTGTCTTACTGAGTAAAGACGTTTATTTCTCCTGGAGAAATATACTTTGTTTTTTCAAATGCTTAAAGTTGCTTGATAATTTAAGGTCAAAGTCACATTTCTAAATATGCCTGAAGGGGTTTAGCACTTCAGCTAGCTAGCTCTATTCCGTGACATACTCCAAACCAGATGAGGGATAAACTTAGTTGTGGGGCCTAACTAAACTATTTTTTTTCTGTTTCCTTTCCATTCGCATCATCTAAAACTATGAACTAGTTAATAACTGAAGTCTTTGCTATTTTTTAATCTTTGTTGCTGAAAAGTGTTTTTAAATGAATGTATTATGCTATTAAAATACATGCCCATCCTTATATAAGTCATAGCATAATTATAGTTTTGTATAATTAGAGTTTTATGTCAAAAGATTTACAGCTTTATCACCTCAAGCAATACTTCACAGCTGCCAAGGATGATTTATGCAATAATGACTTAAACTGTAAAATAGAATCCTCAAAGGAAGAGCTGTCAAATATTCCTACTGCAAATAACTAGGTTTTTAAAAATTGATATTCTGATAAACAGCAAGTTTAATTGTACCTAGCACAATCACATACAAAAGCATAGTAGGAAATGGTGTTGCAAAATGACGATCATGTAGTTCACCATGAACCGCATCAATGTGAACTCATTACATAGATCACGGGTTTAAATTGCTTATAAAGCCTCTGGGCCACTTTAGCGAACAAGCTTTCCAAAATAATGCCTCGGTCGTATTTTTACTCCTCCAGTAAGAGCAAATGGAAGAAATGGAAACAGAATATATAAACTTTCTGTTAATTTGTTCATTGGGCTTATTACATCACTCTTCATATTCTTGTGAAATGCTAAATAAAGAATAAGTAAAAGAAGCATTTACTGTATACAGTTAAGAAATCAAGAAACTCAAAAGTCAATGGCATCAATAATAAAGAATTAAGGAAACTTTGAGAAACAAACCAACAAATATGTTGGTGATTTTCCCCCTTCCTGCTTTTATAAATGTAGAGAACCTGGCAGTAGTCTTATCTCTAAGAGATGAGACTGTCCAAGAATTTGTATCTCATAAGCTCTAACTAATTTTGTAGTTGTCATAAATACAAAACCAAGACACACTGAAGATTCTATTCAAGGTATCTGAACTAGTAGCCAAAACACAAGTTTATTACATTCAAAGCAAACAACTACAACTGTGTCATCACTATCTAAAAAAGTCATTCAAATTAGTATTTTTCTTAAAATATTAAATAAAAAGAAAATGCTTGGTCCATTATCTCGTGTTTTCCATATCAATCAAAGCAAAATAGGTAGATTTTATAGTTAATGCTAAAGATATTCAAATCCTTGAAGACTGAGTTACACTTGAAAAGGAAGTCAACAGAATCAAACGTTTTACCAAAGGTTAATTTTTTTATACCTAAACAACCCTCCAAATCAAAAGTCCTTTTCTGAAAACAAGGGAGTTTTAATGCATATAACCAAGAGAATCATTCAAATAGAAAGATTTGTATTTGTCAATATGTTCAACACAGAAAATTCAATAATTTAATAGGAATTAATCATATTTGTGATTCTTATTAAATTGCTGTTTTACAGTGTTTTGAGATCATTTTACACACCCACATCTCACAACTTTCAAAACATCATCATGCCACTTGTGCTATAATAGATAACTTCTACTTGAAAACACTCTGAAAGATATACCTGGTATCTGAGCAATTTAGACTGTCCAGATTAATGTCATACTTAAATTCTAGGAGTTGGAGAAAACCCTGAAATGGTCTAGAAAACATAATGACCAAAGATGGACCAACATTCACTGAAGTTACCACAATATAGACTGTGTTGGCATCATAATAAATATTCAATAGGAAAAAATGTCAGACATTCAAATTATTCCAAAAGTCCAGATTGTTGGCATCAGATACTCGAAAGACATGAGTTACATTTGGGTAGTGAGAGCTCAATCCAATAAATGTTTTCAAGACAACAGAACAATTAGGCTATTTCTAGTATGCCAACATTACTGATTGAAAAGTACGAGAAACATGGGAAGAACTTTAAAAACAATTTCTGTCTGTTTGATAACTATACAATTGCTTTCATTCCAGATTACTACAAAGTTATACAAACTTGTTTTTAGTAATGTTTTGTAACCACTGAAGTTCATGTTAAGGAAAATGTAATAATTAAGAATTGTACATTGTACATTGAATTATAAGAAAATAAGAGTAAGAGTGAAACCTTTTCCCTGCTGTCTTTTTTTCTGTCTAGTTTACCAAATGATGAGTCATTATATGATATAGGCCATGGCACATTACATATTTATCAAAATCTGAAGAGTTTTCTAAAAATCTGAACAGCTACCTCTCTGCCTCAGTAATTTCTGTTAGTGGAATAAAAAGAAATAGATGATGATGAAATATCCACAAAATTAACTATAACATTCAAGTTTTAAAAATAATTTTACCTTTAAGCCCCAAATTGTCAAATATCATTACAGATATAGATATATAGATATTCAGGAATATATATATGTACGTGTGTGTGTGTGTATATATATATATACACCTTAAAATGGGCATATCTGGGTATTCATATATGTGAGTTCATTTACATATATATTGTGTATTTAAGGCATGCCTATCTATTACATGTGTAGTTTTTTAAAAGAACTATTATATCTAACTCTTATTGTTCTCATAGCAAGTTTGACAGAAGGAGGTGTTGCCCTTGAAGTTGAGGTATGACCTTAAGTTTAAGATCCCAGTTTTGCTGTAGTTATAAAAATCAATACTAATAACTCCACAGTATCAAAATTTTTTTCTACATTTCTTAGTTTAGGACAAATCTTGACTACATAAACAGCCTTTATTGTTTGAATATACACAGGTTAACTGGATCAATGTATAAGTACCTATTTATCATCCTTAATCTTGTATAAGAAGGAGGAAAAGAAGCAAGAGGTGTTGCCTATCAACTAAAGCTAAAGAGCCAAGAGACATAACTGTAATAGTTTTAGTTTTTGATATAGTTTTCAACATAAACTTGCTTTGTAGAGTATTTTAAAGTTCAAACAAATAACACTGTATCTGTATTTCTCACCTACCAAATGCATACCAACGCAGCAGTAAATTGTTGATCTTTCTATAATTCCTAAAGAAAGAAGCATCTAAGACTGATTTGTAGCATTTTTAACCTGAGTGACATTACATTACTGTACTTTTGAAGAGATCACAGTACCCTTATTCAAAGAAAAAATTGTTTCTCCCAGATCACTAATCAGAATACCTATACATGTTGGATCTCAAAATACTATAAGGAAAGCATATATCTACAACTGAACATTTTGGGCTTCTTTGTATATGAACTTTTAACAGTCAAAATTTCTTTTCAATGGGATAAAATAGAAGGAATACTAAATAGATAAATTTTACCATTTTTGTGATAGTAGGTGACCTCCACTTTCCTCTCTTCTGATCCCAGCAATGCCTGGGCAATTTGGGCAATATCATGCCTCTTGGTCTCGGGTCCATGGAGAAAGTCGCAGGTGCATGGCTTTTGCATGACATCTGGCCTGGAGAAGCCAGTCATCTCACAGAACCCATCGTTGCAATAAATGATGGCACAGTTCTGCACTCTGGCATTTGCAATGATAAATTTTTTATCTGTAATAAGAAGATAGTATGGCATCATTGAAAAAGCTTCCACAATATTCTCCGTAACACTGAAGCAATTTGTTGCATAATAAGAGCTCTGAAATGCAGGTGCTTCCCCAAATTATTAATTTCTCTATACTTTATGAAAAAAGAAAACACAAGAAACCCCACAAACTTTAAATGTGAGATTAATGATCCTAAGTAATTTTAACAGAAAGTATTAAGAAACCACTCTTCAAATTGCAAGAATAGAATTTCCCAAATAGTCTAGCTCTCAAGCCCTGCAACTGCTGGGGATCCTAGTGGGCCCTCAGACAAGCAGCTGCCCATTGATATTTTCAGAATGTCATTTAATTGTAATGTAAATATTTTCAAAGTCAAACAGTGAAACATTCTGTAGTTGTAAGATTTCTCATTTCAACTTTGGCCCTTTGAATACAACTTTCTCAAAGTAGTTATTATTCTTTGGTTTCTCTCTATCTCTCTTAGGCATGTTACATACATCATGTTAAAAACAAAGGCAACTAGCTTTAGTAATGAAACTACTTCATATTTAATAGCAATTCAACAAGGCAAAGGTTCAACTTTTCATAATATATATTTTCCAAAAGAAAAATATTTACACACACTCAGTGAATATCATGATGACACTTTTTACTTTTACTTTGGGAGATCCTTGATGTTTTGTGTAGTAGCAGGAATTTTTAATACAAAGAGCTTATTAATTTATATCACAGATTGTATTTACTATTTCCAAATACGTTGTGAAGCAGGATATACAAGTTTATTTTGTACGCAAGGTACCAGATCCTCACGTCACTAAATGCAGTGTTGAAATAACCGCAAAATATATGGCATACAAATGTATTAATATAGTTTTAAGAAAAGGTTGAAGATAAGTTAACAAATATAGGATTTTAAATTAATATACTTATATAGCAAAAATGTATTCCCTATATTTAGTCCACATGAGAACATTAAATTTCTGTTCATTCAGTCTTTGTGGGATTTACTTATTACACTTCAATTTTTAAATTTCTAGATGGAAATGTTAAGGAGATAATAAAAGAATAGAAATATTATTTTGAATAATGAGCCATTTGCATCGGAAACCAGCAGAGATTAGATACTGCTTTTCCAAATTATCCTGCTTAGGATATATTTGCATTGATTCAATACAACATTTAGCTTCTATAAACTAATAGCAAGCAAGCATCCGTGTCATACCACTGCCTTGCAGTTTAACCAAGGTAAAATATAGTTTGCATAGCCATTTACATCGCTACTACCATTTACATTCTCTTGTTCGAATAGTGTGGTCTGCTCTGCTTCCGACTTTCAAAAAGTCTACAGTAAAACAACCTCAAAATATAAACCCATGTTATCCTAGCACGTTCCCTTTAAGATAGTAGAATAGTAGGACATTAAGTAGCAAGGCAGATAATGGAGCAGTGGTAGAGGAGGATCAAATTGCCTCCTATAATGGAGACCGTAATCTAAAATGTAAATCAAAATTAATATCAGAAGAATAACACTCCCGCTGCCGCTGGAACCTCCTGGCTCGGTTTCATAGCCTCTTAACTTGACAGAGCCTGGAGTTGCCGGTCTCCCCAGCTTGGAAGCGGTGGACGCCAAGTGCACTATCAAGGCAGAAAGCGAGGGCGAGAGAAGAGAACAAATGAACTTACTTTGCCCTTCAAATTTCCGAATGATGGTCCCCAGAAATGTATTTTGTGGTGCCACATGCCCCCTGCGCACAGGCATGTTGGCCCCAGTCTTCCGAGGAGCGCTCCCCCGGAGCTCTGGAGTTCTCCCGGGATCTCTCCTCGGCTAGAGCCCAGGCCAGCGCGCGAGCCGCTCTTTGTGGCAGAGCATCCTCTTTTGAAACCAGAATTCTCTTCCCATTAGCACCACTTCTAGACACCCGCTTTCCCCACCGGAGTCCAATCCATTCCCCTCACCTTCCGGAGGGGCCTCGCACCGGACTGCCGCGGGTGAGAGGGTTTGGGGGTGGGGAACGGAAAGGAGGCGGGGTGAGGGGAGGTGGCGGGGGAGGGAAGGAGAGAGGGAGCGGTGGGGGTGGGGTGGGAAGGGGGCGGGGAGTCACAAGGGCAATCGATCTGTTTCTCTTCTCCCAAACAGCGCCAATTTCCCAGTGCAAATGGGCTTAACCTGGCGGTTGCCCAGAGCAGTGAGGAATGGCTGAGGGGGGTTGGAAGACTTGTGCTGCTTTTGCAGGAAGGAGAGAGAGAAAAGGAGGCTGGGGGTCGGGGGGGTTGACGTTTCTATCCCCGCCCTCTCCCCCTAACACACACACACACACACACACACACACACACACACGCTCCCTTTATCCTGGTAGCTTGGGCGCCGCCACAGCTCGGATTACTCAAGCGTGCTTTAGCGGAAGCCAGCCAAGAAATCTCTAAAACTCCGTGACAAACAGCTACTCTGGGAAGGTGATCTCTACGGCCACCAGCCACAGAGCTCCGTCCCTGAGCTCCTCACGCCGCAGTAGCTAAAGCACCCTTAGCTGCAAGGAAAACACAGGTGGGAAAACAGTTTCTTAATGAGGAATATTTGTAGGCTCTGTTGGCGCTCAGCAGGTTGAAGATTGAGAATGAACCACCTAAGGGTGCAGAATTAGCCTCAGGGTGCAGCTCGGATCCCTGGGTTCAGCAGAGGTGGGTGCCGAAGCCCGAACTGAATTGGCACGCGGGTCCCTGCCCAGCGCTGAGCCGCGCCTCGGAAAGACTGAAAGCTGCCCGTGCCGCTGAGCATGCCCAGTTTCTGCCTGAGTCCCTGGAGGGTTGCAAGATTGGGGGTTGATTTGGTCTCCAGGTGCCGTAGGCTGCGAGAAAGATGAGACGGCCAAAACGAGAAGGCCAAAGATTGCGAGCGACTAGTACAAAACAAGGAAAGAGTTTGAAATAGGTGAGGCTGAGCGCCAAGGGGAAGGAACAAAAGGTGGGTGGGGCTAAGAGTTACCAGCCTTGGCTGTGACCTCCGATGCCACTCATCTCCGGAACACACTAGCTACATTCTGCTCTCCTCCACCATCTCTAAGGAGCCATCTCATATAGGATAGAAAAGGGTTCAAGGGGCAGAATAGAGTCCTCTTCCTTCTCGCTTCTCAAAGGCTGCCAGCGTGGGAATCTCAGGGTATACAGACACTTATGTTCAAATAGTCCTCCTGGAGACTTAGGAAAACAAATGTGACAAGCTGTGCCAGGAAAGCGTGTTTCTGAAGTTGTTTTTCTAGTTTTTCTTTATTGTTTTCCCTTTATTTTTGTTATCTCTCCCCCACCCCCTTTAACCTGATAGCCCCTCTCCACGCCCCTTTCTCTAAATGGAATTTGCTACGACTTCAATCTACTCAAGCAGAACACAGACGAGTATCTCATTTCCTGCTGGAGATAAGGGTCCAGAGATTCCTGTCAACACATGCAGTTGCATGATAGAATTTGGGGGGTTCTTGTAGCTCATTAGCCTGCTATGCCTTGAGTCAACTGGGTTCTTATTTTCTCAGTTACAGCTTCAAATCTGAAGTGAAATAATGAGAGTGGAACTGAGAAAGGCCGTGAAGCAGGGTTAATTTGGGAAGGTGAATCAGGTGGGTTGCAATAACCAGGAAGTAAGCATAACAACTTTTATGTTCCAAAACAACAAACCCCAAAGTCTAAACAAAAACAAGAACTGAAGTAATTCCTCCTCTTTAATATCAGAGTAATTAAAATGAATCAAACGAAAGACGTTCCTAGGAATGTTGAATTTTATGGCTAATAAGGTTTACTTTAAAAATAAGCAACCTATGACAACCTCTAGGCTCTTCTAGTAGCTTGAGCTTTCCTAAGTCTTTATGGTTGCCTCTGCGGGAATATAAAAAGCCATATGTCACTAGTGTGTGGTTTTATTTTCTCCTTAAAAATATATATAAGTCCATCATTCCGTCATACTGTTCGCTAGCTGCAGCCGTGCTTGGGAGACGACTAGAGTTTCTCTCCCAGGTGCTGAACGTGTGGAGCTATCCATGGTTCTGAATCCGAATCAGCCGTTGGCAACTGTTCTCTGCCTACAACCAGCCGCAGACAATAGAACTACAAACTCAGGCAAGTGGCCCTAATGTATCCACATGCACCACTCTCTTCACCAAATGCCCAAAGAAATACAGAGTGTTCTAAAACACATTTCTTCTCTACTTAGCGTCTTAACTAAACCCAAGTTCACCTTCCTCCCAAAATGCATCAAGGACTCCAGAAAAAAAATGAAGAAACTGCATATTGCGTAGATTGTAATTAAAGTTTCACCTATGAAGTTGTATTTTAATTAAGATTTCACGGCACAATAATATAACAATAAGTTATATAAAGGTAATATAGCTAAACTTTTTAAAAATTACACATAAATTTAGTGAATGAATACTGTTTTAAAGTAATAGGTATTTCCAAATACAGCTGGAAACACAAAGTTTATCTGTCACATGACAAGATATATTGACATGCAGAAGGTAACTGTGCATAATGTCTCTAATTATAAGTCTGAAACTAACTTTCATAGGATATTGATTCTGGAAACCCTTGAATTCCACTTTCCTTCTTCAAGAGAAAAAGTGGCTTTCTGCTCCCTGAAGTATTCTCTCTTTCTCTGCAACTTTTAGAGTGGTCTCTGTTTGTTTGGGTTGGTTAACTAAATACGTGATGGCTAAAATCCCATTGTCTTTGTTACATATGTGTGAGCTCTGTGGGCTTTACACTTTTCCTAATCTCATTTAACTCCAAAATTAGTTCTATTAAGGATTCAGTGTAAAATCACAGAACATTTTATAACCTATGTATTGTAATTGATTGAGCAGAAGATTAAAGGCATCCTGTTTCTAAATTACCCCAGTAATCGTGTTCATACATTATACATTGGAACAGTGGAGAAAGTACATTAATCTATATTCAGCCAATAGAATAAAAGCAGTGGATGGTAATCATGGCTGCTTGTTGGCTGGAAAATTATCCTCCCCCACTCCACTTTCTATAAAAGCTAACTTTATATTTTGTGTGGAGACCCACTTTCACAAGTTTTTAGTATTTTTGGACCCTTTTGAAAGTCCATATATTGAACCAAGCACACAATTCAACTGCTGAAATCCTATCATGTATACAGCTTAACACTCAATACAATCTACTTATAGGCAAGGTTGCAGGATAGATTGTATATTCTTAAAATTACCTAATTATCAATATTACTTTAAAATTAAGTCATTTAGTATTTACATATGTAAAAATATTTTGAATGCCTACCATATAATAACAATTCAATAAATTTTACACACACAGCATTTTCCATAGAAGCTCACAGAATTAATGAAACTCTGCTTAAGAAACCTACATTAGAAATCATTCAAGCAGCATATATTATTGCAATCATCACTATGGGATATTTAAGTGGCATTCATATATTGGTATAGAATAGAAACTTTAATATCAAATTAAATAATGTGATTTGGTTCACATTTTTGAGATGCTGCGGAATATAAGTCAATGAAATTAATGTAAAGTTTTCCCAATTCAGCAAAACTAGTTTAATAATCTGATGACCACAGTGCACATTTTAATTTTTCTTATTTATTTAATCTTTTTTTTTCTTTGGGACGGTGTCTTGCTCTGTCATCCAGGCTGGAGTGCAGTGGCACGATCTCGGCTCACTGCAATCTCCGCCTCTCGGGTTCACGCCATTCTCCTGCCTCAGCCTTCGGAGTCGCTGGGACAACAGGCACCCAACACCAAGCCAGGCTAATTTTTTTGTATTTTCAGTAGAGATGGGTTTTCACTGTGTTAGCCAGAATGGTCTCGATCTCCTGACCTTGTGATCCACCTGCCTCGGCCTCCCAAAGTGCTGGGATTACAGGCAACCACCGTGCTCAGACTATTTAATCTTTTTCTATAGATGGATTCTGGTTCTGTCGCCCAAGCTGTAGTGCAGTGGCATGCTATAGCTCACTACAGCCTCACACCCCTTGCTGACCAAGTGATCCTCCCACCTCAGCCTCCTGATTAGCTGAGACTATAGGTACAGACCACTGTGCCTGGCTAATTAAAAAAAAAAAAAATAGAGATGGGCTTCTGCCTTGTTGCATAGGCTGGTCTCAAACTCCTGGCTTCAAGTGATCTGCTCCTCTTGGCCTCTCAAAATGCTAGGATTATAGGCATGAACCATTACGCCAGACCTAATGCAGCATTTTAATGGCTGTTTTAATGTAGCCTAGTATGGGGATCCTGGGTATCATTCTACTAACTGGGTCACATTTAACTGCAGAAACATCTGACTTTACAGTTACAAGTCAGGAAAATTTCAGCTTGTATTATCATAATGTAGCTTTAGTATCTCAGAAGAGGCAGAAATTTTGAGGCCATTTATTAAAACAACAATATTGCTGAGCAGCATAAAATAGGGGCAACTGGTGTTAACACTGCCATTTTTAGGAGGAAATAACGAAGATAATTCAGGTATTTTGCTCATAGCTTTATTTCTAAAATCAGTATAACAATTTCCAACATTCAATTTTGTGAGAAGTAGGAAAATAGATATACAGTGATTAGGACAAAATCTTGTATACAGCGAATATTTAAGTATCATATATCCTACAATATAAATGTTCTACATTTTGGAAATCAGTAAATTAATAACATTTACATTAACATAGAGTATTTAACTAATTTAGATTAAGGGTGTCCTAGTGTTTTGTTGGGGAGGGGGCATGAGAATAAGGTATAGAATAGTCGGTGAATCATGCTTATCCAGGCAACAGGAACTAATGTCAATGACTGTTCCTAATATATTAACATAAGTGTATATAGTAAGAAAATTGAATTTTACTTCAGAAAATTTAAGATACCTTTCTTATGCCATACTTTATATGTTAGTTAGAATCCAACTAGTCATTTTACCTCAGATACTTTGGGACAACATATTCTACATGTAAATTTTTATCCAAATGTATAAGATTTGGCTAATCTTGTTGATAATATGTAAATCTTAGTAGAAGAATAAATTCTTCCCTGTAAGGAATAAGTTATTGGCCGTCCTTTTCCTAAAAATGAATATTCCTGCAGAAAATAATCTGTCTGTATATGTGTTGTTAATATAATACATTCATCAATAACTGACACATAAGATAGCTAGAAACCTAACAAAATTATTATATTTTATGAAAAAAATACGTATATATACCTATAAATGTATGCTTGTTAAAATGAAAAATTAGGTATTCTAGGTGAGGATTTCATAGAGTGCATGGGTAAGGCTGTTTTATAAGATGATTTATTTACTAAATTTAGTAAGTAATTTAGCACATGGGTCAAAAATGAGCTTTGTTGCATATAGCTTTATTGAAGGCTAAGAGGGTATATGAGATACTTTTATATCGGTAGACCTTAAAATTGTTGTATTGTTTTGGCTGGCATATCTACTTTTGCAATTATGCAAATTAATGAATTTGTGGTATTCATCACGTCTAACTTGATTGGTCTTTGCACCTTGTGGAAATATGCATATGTGTATATAGATAAATAGGTAGATATAGATACAGGTAATATAGATAATGAGATTTCAAGTTACACCAAATTGCATTGTTTCTTTTCTGGACAAAATGCACAGTTGTTTTTATTTAAAATGTGATGGTTAAATTGCCTCTATCTGCGGATAGGTTTAATTTGATTACAGAAAGTCTATATTTAGTATTCAGATAAATCTGTACACAGAGAATCAGCTTTTTTCCAAACTTAAATAATTTGGAAGTAATATTTTGTGGTTCTACATCTATCTGCTCATGATAAAGTAATGGAGTCAGGGTTTAATGCCTCACATTTAACAATTGTATAATTGGACAAAATAGAGAAATCGAGGTGCTTAGACATTGAATAACAAGGAGTACATGAAAATATTTCCTGAAAGAAGAACAAAACCAAGATATAGCCTATGATTTACACATATTACTGGCTAAAAAGCTCTTCTAGAGCACAGTGCATGGAGTAAGAAACCAAACAGAACTCAATGGACTTAACTGAGCAAACAACGTTCTCAACAGAGGGAGCTGCACAGAAAGAGAGGTCTAGGTATCTTCATAGGGTCAGTAAAAGTCTGTCTGAGTATTGATTTGCACAAGCACGTGAGGAAACCACCCAAGACTAGGGGAAGAAA